TGTCACAAGATTATTTGTAATGTAGTAGTAAGTTATTATAACTTATACTTTTTTTAAGGCTAACACTCAGACTTATATTTAACTCATCCCCCATCCTTCTTTCTTTCAGTGAGCGTGCCAATGCAACGGGGGCAACAGGTCAGCGCTTGAAGGAGGGCGCCCACATCAACAAATCGCTGGTGACTCTGGGTAGCGTGATCTCGGCCCTGGCAGAACAGACGGGTGGCGGCCAAAACAGCAGTAGCAGTAGCTCCGCCCTGGCCACCACCCCGAATGGGGCCAGCAAGCGAGTGCTCTATATACCGTATCGCGACTCCATCCTCACGTGGCTTCTTAAGGACAGTTTGGGCGGCAACAGCAAGACCATCATGATAGCGGCCCTTTCGCCGGCCGATTGTAACTACAGTGAAACACTCAGCACGCTGCGGTACGCCAATCGGGCGAAGAACATCATCAACAAGCCGACGGTGAACGAAGATACGAATGTCAAGCTGATCCGCGAGCTCAGGGAGGAGATCAATAAGCTCAAGTCCATGTTGTCGGGGGATATTGTAAGTAGCTATCATATGAGATTATTCCCACTTAATAATTATATAACCTATTATTTTAGCACTCACTGCAGCCATCGCTCAAGGTTTTAGCCGATCTGCAGAAGAAGGAGGCTCAGGAGAAAGTACTCACCGAGGAATGGACGGAAAAGTGGAAGGTGGCCCAGTCCATTTTGCAGGAGCAAAAGAGCCTGGGTCTGCGCAAGTCGGGCGTGGGCGTGGTTCTTGACTCAGAGATGCCGCATCTGATTGGCATCCACAACGACGTGACCACAGGCGTGACCCTGTACAGTCTGAAGGAGGGCGAGACGCGCATCGGCAGCGAGAATGCGGATGTGGCGCAGGACATTGAGTTGGCCGGCGATGGAATACGAGCGCAGCATTGCAGCATTGTCCTGAAGGGCGGCGTGGTTACGCTGCATCCCTGGCCTTTGGCCCAGTGCTGGGTGAACGCCCATCTAATTGACGAACCCAAGCAGATCTCGCAGGGCGATATCATATTGCTGGGCCGAACCAATATCTTCCGGTTTAACAATCCCGCCGAGGCGGCTAAGCTGAGGAAGGATTTGAGTCGCTCGCAACTGGACATGTCGCGGCTGTCGCTGATCACCTCCTCCAAGGAAAACCTACTCACCTGCAGCATATACTCGGATGAGGATGGGGCATCCCCTTATAAACGGCCGGAGAGACAGTATTATCCCCAGCGTCCTATGTCGCGAGACGATCCCGAGATGCAGGACGAGAATCGAAAGATTCTAGATACCATCGAAAATGCCCTGAAGCAGCTCAATGTGGTAAGTGGATAAAAGTGTAATATATAGATATTTCATTATTATAAATTGTAATTTTCTCTTTTTAGGAACGCGTCCAGATGCACGACCAATACAAGACGAAAGTGCGCAAGCTGACCGAAGAGCTTATCCGTTTGGAGCAGGAGGAAATGGATGGCTTGCAGGTCTTAAACTGCCGCGAACAGGAGCTAGTTGCCCGCAAGGACATGTTGCTGTGGGAGAAGAACAATGAGAAGGTTCAGGTGCGTGCCTCCGATCCCATCCGTTTGATCGCATGTCATCATCATTAATTGTTCTTCAATATGAATGGATTGATCTTCATTGTGCTTGTTAAATTGCCTGCTCTACCTTATTGTTTTCCTTGTTTTTGCTTTATGTTCCTTACGATTTTCTGTTCGTTCCATTTTCGTTTTAGATCGACATTGTGTGTAGACAAATTTCAGCGTTTCAGACGCAGCTCGACTCTAAGAAACGAGATTTCTCTGAGTATGTAGCGAAAGAATTGCAGGAACTGCAAGATTGTGGCAAACTGGACGAGGTTTGTTCGTTTGTTTAGAAATTCTTTGCCTAGATATTAGATTAGATAATAATACTCCTCTATTAAATGTAATATTTAACAAATGGTTTTCTGTATTCACAGATGGGAATGAAGATCGAAGAGGGCACTCCACTGAACGATGAACTGCTATTGCAGGTGTCGGATTCCTTGGATTTGTTTGCAGCACAGTTTATAAAGGACACTGTGCGAAGAAATGTAATTAAAATTATTTAATGATCGTAAAAAGATCTTATTACTATATTTAAACCGTTTCAGAACGAGGAAATCCGCAAACTGGACGAACAAATAGCCGAAAAGGAGAGAATACTCAATGCCAGCACCACTAAAATAGCCAAGGTCGATGAGACCATGCTGGAGATTCAGGCCCAGCTGGAGCGTCTGCGTCTGGAACGCGCCGAAAGTGAGGCCGAGTCTCAGGCGATGGTGCGCACCAGGAAGCAGAACATGAAGCTGCAGTTGGCCAACAAGTCCATGTCCACCTCGACCAGCACAACCGAGGCTGACGATGTGTCCAAGTCGGACACGTACGAAACCTGTGATACCTTCCACACCGCCCAGTCCAACCTGTCGCTCGTCTCATCGCCCACCATCACGGAGGGCCAGCAGTCGCCGCTGAGCAATTGTTCCTGCGATGCGGAGGACGAGGCTGAGGACACGCGCAAGGACGACCTTTCGGGTAGCAGCGAGGAGACCTCACGCACCTGTACCGCCGGTCCCAGCAGTGGGAGTGGCAGTGCCAGCGTGGGAATAGGTGGCTCCGGCTCAGCGCCCAGCGCAACTCCCAGTTCACAGGCCATCATGAGCGACAGTGGCGTCTGCCTGGACAGTCGCAATCAGGCTCTGCTCCAGAATGGCCACCTCAACAACTACAAGCAGGGAGTGCGAACCAGCGACGAGGACACCGGCTCCTGTTCCTCCTGCGAGTTGGGACGACACTCGGACTCGGCCCGTCCTTACTGTCCGCTGCATTCGCTGCGGCGCAAAATCGCTGCTCAAAAGGCTCTGATCATGAAGAACCTCGAAACGGACTTGAACAAGGTCCAGTTGGATGAGCATATTGCAGATCTGCAGGATCTCCAGCGGCGCTACATTCAAATGGAGCAGGAAATGCTGCAATCTGTGCAGGATTTGGAGGCGCATTCTCAGTGCTGTGCCGACGAGCGGTCTGGAATGGAAAGGCAGTACGAGCTGGCCAGTTCCATTATGCGTTCGAGTGTCATGAGTCCCACCAGCATGGAGGAGTCCACTTCGCAGATTTACTCACCCAGCATGACAAGATCCTGTCCATCCATGCGAGAGTTTCGTAAGTGCTTTAAAAGGATATTTATAAAAATTACCCCTGTAATTATTTAATTTGCATTTTTCTTTTAGCTGATGGCGAACACTTCATTACCATCCCGAGTTTTGTAATGCGGGGCGCCGGCAAGCAAACGCACTACGAATACGAGGTTCGCATCGCTCTACCCGATGGCAAGTTGAACATTCTGCGGCGATACAGTCGCTTCAGGGAGCTGCATCTGTGCATGAAGCACTGCTACGGAGCCAAGGTATGAAGCCTGCTAAAAGCAAAGTTTTTAATTTAATTAACGAATTAATTTCTAACCAGATATCTGCACTTCCGTTTCCGCGGCGAGAGCTCTTCGCCTCGAACAGCGAACCGGTGGCGAAACATCGTCGCCGTCTACTGGAATTATATTTGCGACGCCTGTTCGTCGTGTGCTCAAAGATTCCGCAGTGCCCCATCTACGAGGGACCCGGCGGAACGGGCCTAACACGATCCTCCCTCGTCCAGCTGTCGTCTTTTTTCAAGAAAGGCCTGTTCGAGAACGGCAAGCACGGGACGGGATAATAGTTAACCTACTGCTGAATTATCTCCTGCCTACAGTGTGTCTTTTTATTTACTTGTACTACCTGTTAAGCTATATGAACGACAACATGGACCTGTTTTGATTAGCTAGCCGAAACTACTGTGTAGAAGATTATTTAGCTGTAAGCCCCCCTATAATTAGCTATGTAAGACCACCAGTGTCCTTTCTCACACCCGAGCGATATGTGCGACATTTTTTATACCCATTGTTATCAACTGAATCGGAGCTTTATATTGAAATCACTGTAAAAATGTAACTGCCAGCGGCGATGTTGCAATCTCTGATTTGTACTTTTACCAAGTGCAAATATGTATTCTATCTATTATGATCATCGTGTTGGAGGTTTGTTTAGATGGTTTGTTGGTGTTTTGCGGCCAGTTTTAATTAGTTAATTATTTCTCTCTTTACTAGTTAAATATACGCATAGGTGTACGACTTCCATAAAGTTATTCCAGTTATTTAGTCTGTGATTACCAACTGAAGTTATTGAACAGAATCCAAGCAAATGAACACGTAACTGAACATTTCACGAGCGAGTAATAGTAATCCAAAACTGACAACTCCGTAGCCTACAATCTCTTACTCGTAAGCTAATTGTACAAATCGAACACTGATGGGTCTAGGTGGGCAGATGTTTAGCAGTAGGTATTAGGTATACTAGCCACTAAGCTCTAGCTCTAAGTCGATGCGTCGCAATTATACTAAACTAATTATGAGTACAATTCCCGAAAATGTAACAACATGAAATGTTCAATGTAAAAAGCATAGAGTAAGTTTACTTATTATGGCAATATGCTAGTTGATATTGAATGGTGAAATTGGTCGATCGTCGGATCGATGGCAATAAGTGAAACAATAATAGCCTAGATGTAGGAAACCTGATGGTTCCGCCCACTCAAACGGACGCCCCTCAGGGGCAGGCCAACACCGATTTGACAACAGAGTGGTTGCTGTCATAAAAAAAATAAATACGTAAATATATAAAAATCAATGAAGAGTTTTTATTTTATTCATTCTTGGGTAAGCAGTGAACTAATGTTGAGACCACCACTGTATCGAATGTAATGTACGTAAATTATACATGGTGTATTTTTACATGACCTGTTTACTACATCTATTATACTTTTGTAGATGTAGAAGGAGGAATTGAAGAATTTGTAGGAAAAGATTTCTTTTTTTTTATTTAAATACTTAATATAATCAATTCTGTTTATGTTTTCTTGTTTTCTTTACCTCAACCGTTATAAACTTTCAATTCGCTGATATTAGCTCTTTGCATATATTTTGTTTGAGCAAACACTTGTATTTTAAATTGTACGAGAATAATAATATAGCCAAATATGGTGACAACCATCTGAAAATATATAGTTGTGTATGAAATCTTGATATTAAATTTATAATATACCCCTCCAAAGCACTTGAGATTGATGTCGAATAATCCGGCACAGGTGAAACGGAGCTTAAGGTGTTGCATTTGCAGGGAGTATTCCCTGAGGCCCATTTTTAGCATTGGATAATCTTCGGCAGCAGGCAAGCCATATATATGAAGAAAGGTTCGTGGGATGCTATTGTACTAAAATATTTTTGAGATCAAAAACTATAGTTCTTAAATATATTTAAAGAGAAAGGCGTACCGCATTGATGCAGAGCTCAGTATAAAAACAGGCCAGAAAAACATTGATCGATAATAAAGAACAAACCCCGATGCGCACTATGTAAAAAAAATATTTTCTTAATTTATATAAGACTTGATATATTATAAGACTTACTATATTGACAGCAATCGTTGGGATTGATAGATTTTATAAGAGCCCAGTTGACAATGTGCGAAATGCTCAATCCATTGAATACAAACAGCAGAGTCATGGAAAAGGTAAAATATGTTCCAATCTCGTCCACCAATTTCCAGATTCGTCCCACCAGCAACTGATTTCTTTTTAAAATTACACACAACTCCTGAATCCTTTCACTGCAGTTACAATCCTCTAGTTCTACACCGATTTGCTGGAGGATATGTCGTAGCCGAAGAATTAGTTCATAAATCAGAAAAACGAACACGCAATACTCGGCAATTTTGAATTGCAACATTATTAGGATGATCTCGGTGAGGACTTTGTTTGCCCAGTGGAGAAAGGGTCCCAGTCCCACGAGGGTAAAGCGAGGTGTAAGACCTGCGATCAACACCATCCAGAGTCCAATAAATAGAGCCAGTCTGTAGCGAAAGCTCAACCAATATCTCCGGCCACTAAAACCCTTCAAAGCCTTGTTAATATCCTTCTCCAGTTCCGCAATCTCCTCAAAGATTCGTCGAAGTCGTTGAAAGTTTAGGAGCATATTCAGTTGATTACCAGTAGCCATGGCGACCACGAGAATCTTTTGAGTCCTTCCCATTACTCGACTAAAATCCTCCGCCCGGAAAAGATCTAATTCCAGGTGTAGAGCCACAATATTCGCATAGCACTCGTATATGACAACCAGAAGAATTGCCATTAGATAAGAGCTGTATCCTGCTATCAAGTAGCCTCTACGTCGCCTGTGCAATGTCCTTGTGAAAAAAGCAGGTGGGGGTGTAAGTCCAAATAAGGAAAAAACCTGAAGATAAGGACGAGTGGTGGTCAGCAGACGACTTCGATTCGCTTCCATGTTCGTCGAGGTGTTGAAAAGAACTGGCGAAAGTGCTTAGCTGGCTGGTAATTAACTTAGCAAACAATTTTCCTATAATTGGTTTGATAAGATGATCAAAACGCTTGTCGAAGTTTACAACTTTCCATTCTATATTGTGAGTATTTATATTACACAGAAAGAAATAAATTAAATAATTGTGGTCGAGAAAAATTTAATCACAAATTTTTTGCATTGCATTTTTTAATAATATTTTTTAAAAAGAAAAGTGTGAAAAATGTAGTTAATCAATAATTTCGCTATTATTTCGATTATATTTTAATTGCGCAAGGAACTGAATTTTGAACTGTACCACAATAATTATATATCCAAGTATGGTGACCACCATCTAAAATAGAATTTTTGATTATAAAGATATAATATTTGGGTATATCTTTACCCCTCCAAAGTACTTGAGATTAATGTCAAAGAACCCTCCGCAGGTGAAAAGGAGCTTAAGATGTTGCATTTGCAAGGAGTATTCTCTTCGTCCCATTTTAAGTATTGAAAATTCCTCAGCTACAGGTAAGTACCCAATTTGGTGAAGAATTCGTGTAATGCTATTGTACTGAAATATTTAAAGGAAAATTAAATATATCACCTTTATAATATAAGTCACACTTACAGCTCGAATGCAGTATTCACTATAAAGACAGGCCAGCAGAAGATTGATCGATAGTAATAGAGCAGCCCCTAATCTTCCTATAAAAAAGATAGAATATATAAAGGGGCAATTCGTAATGACTCTACCTACTGTATTGATGGGAATCATTGGGATTGATAGATTTCGTGATGGCCCAGTTGACAATGTGCAGAATGGTGAGTCCATTGTACAGGAACAGCAGCATCATAGATACGTTGAAATATTTTCCAATCTCTTCCACCAAACTCCAGATTCGTCCAACCAGCAACTGATTCCGTTTCAAGGTAACACATAGCTCTTGAATTCTGTTCCTGCAATTACAATCCTCAAGTTCGGAATGGATTTCCTCGAGGATATGACGCCCTCGAAGGATCAACTCATAGACCAGCAGAACGAAGAGGCAAAACTCAGGACCCTTAAGTTGCTGCATTATAAGGATTATCTCGGTGAGTATTTCGTTTGTCCAGTGGAAACGGGTTCCTTGGCGTCCCAGCGTAACGTGTGGCATAAAACCCACTAGAGTAACGATCCACAGTCCCACAGAAAGGCCCAGTCGGAAACGAAAGCTCCACCAGGGCCTTTGTTTAATAGAACCAATAAATACTTTATCCATCTCATGCTCCAGATCCGCAATTTCCTCATAGATCCTTCGAAGACGTCGAAAGTTCAGCAGCATATTTATCTGATTGCAAGTAGCCATGGCTACCATAAGAAACTTTTGTGTTCTTCCCATCACTTTGCTGAAATCCTCAGCGTGGAACTGATGTATATCCCGTTGTAGGGCTATAATATTCGCATAGCACTCATATATGACCACCGAAAGGATTGCCAGTAAATAGCAACTGTTTCCTGCTATGAAGTATCCTCTACGTCGTATGTGCAATGTCCTGGTGAAAAATACAGGCGGGGGTGTGAGACCGAATATGGAAAAAACCTGAAGATAAGGACGTGCTGTGGTGAGCAGTCGACTTCGATGGGCTTCCATGTCCGGCAAGAAGTTGGAAAGGACTGGCAAAAGTGCGTAGCCCCACGAGGTAATTAACTTGGCAAACACTTTATAGTAATTGGTTAGATTAGATGGCTGAATGTTGTAAGATAAGATGGCTGATTATTTTACAATGATATACATTTTATTGTTACCAATCATTATAGCTTACTATATTTCACTAATGAGCTCTTGTAATTTCGTAGGCATTTTAAGACCCGATGGAGGTAGTTGTTAGAACATCGAAATAGCAATATTCTTTATCTATAGTTTTAACATTTATTTATAAAGCCTTGAAGATTTAAAAAATATTTTTCCCGATGACTGAATAATTGAGTACCTACATATTGGTTCTGTTTATTTATTTTTACTGAAATATTTTTATCTCACTCATTATACATTTCGCTAATGTTATGACTTTCAAAATATTTTGATTGAGCAAAAACTTGAATTTTGAATTGTATAAGAATAATAATATATCCAAATATGGTAACGACCATCTGAAAAGAGGTGGTTGAGTTCAAAATGGCAATTTAAAAAAAATTTATTTATACCCCTCCAAAATACTTGAGATTGATGTCGAAGAAGCCGCCGCATGTGAAAACTAGCTTTAGATTTTGCATTTGCAAGGAGTACTCCCTTAGTCCCATTTTTAACATTGGATAATCTTCTGCTACAGGCAAGCAATAAATTTGGTGTAGAATTTGTGGGATGCTGTTGTACTATAAGAGTTTTGCAGATAAGAAATTGTTTAACATATATCACTATGGACGGCAGTCCATGTAGTGACGAAGCGCACCAGGAGGGTGTGCGAAGGCGACTACTATATATACACGAAGAAATGAAAATCTACTGTGATGGTCCGATCATAATGAATGATACACCTATCGAAAGGTATTGCGAAAACTAACAGGATTGCATACCAAGACTCTAAGAAAATCAATTGGCTTGGGAGAGAGAGCGGTGAAAGTAAAAAAGTGAATATTTCGAAATTTGGAGCTGTTGGGGCCGGTGGGGATAATTGCCCCCTCTCAATGTTTTAGTTGTATTCCTTTTGAAAATACCCGTCGAATGAGGGGTCATTTGTCAAAATCCGACGCTCCGTTCAAAAGTTATAGCCAAAATAAGATTTTCTTCGTCTTCCCAAAATGAAAATTTAATTCTGTTTGTCAGTTTGTCAGTTTGTCAGTTTGTCAGTTTGTCAGTTTGTCAGTTTGTCAGTTTGTCCAAAACATGTTTTCTAAGTTTTGAAAATTTGATATGACGTTCATCACATCGATATAAAAAACTTTTGTTCTACCACTTTTGGAAAAACTCGCTAGTTTAGCGGGAAAACAGCTATAAGTAGCTAAAATTCGGAAAGCCGTAACTTCTATACTACTAAAGCTACAGACTTGTGCTGCATCTCGTTTGAAAGGTATTTTGAAATGCTATAAACGCCATTTATATGCAACTTGTGTAAATGTAATAGTTAAAAAAATATGAACAAAAGACAATTTTTTAAAACTTTTTTTTTAGCTTTTTTTATTTTTTTCAAAAACGGCTCTAACGATTTTCTTTAAAACTTTAAACTGTATAGCCCTTGAGATTCCTTAAATTTTGGTATATAACACATTACTGTAAAAAGTCACGTTTAAAAGTTATTTTTATACGAAAATAGCCACTTTTGCAAGCTCGAACTACTAACGCTCCCTGAGTATTGAAATTTGTGTGAGGGTATCCGAACTGTATTTTAGGGTCATGGAATCAGTAAATTTGCACTTAAGAGTTCCATATAGGAATCTTTTGTTCTACGACTTTTGGAAAAAGCCGCTACTTTAGCGGGAAAAAGCTAAAAATAGCTACATTTCGTTAGTTTGTAAGTTCTACACTACTAAAGGTACAGACATGTGCTATACCTCGTTTAAAAGGTATTTTGAAATACTTCAACGCCTTTTTAACTGAATTCGTTAAAATACAATAGTTTAAAAATTATGATTTATGACCAATTTAAATTTAAATGTTTATATTAGCACCTATGAGAGCAAAAGTAAACAAACAAAAACTTCTGATATCAAATAAAAACACCTCTTAACGAGGTAAAAAACTAGTGACGAACGCACCTTCAACATACAAAAGTTCTGATATCAACATTTGTGACGAAAAATTATTACACTCGTCATTAAATAGACTTTCTAATATTTTCTCATTCGGCACGCTGCAATAGAAAATGCCTGTGAAGGGAAAAAGGCTGGAATAGTTTGCTAGGGCGGGCCGAATGAGAAAATATTAGAAAGTCTATTTAATGACGAGTGTAATAATTTTTCGTCACAAATGTTGATATCAGAACTTTTGTATGTTGAAGGTGCGTTCGTCACTAGTTTTTTACCTCGTTAAGAGGTGTTTTTATTTGATATATATAAGAAATATTTTACCGCTTTGATGCAGAATTCACTTGAAAGGCAGGCCAGAAAAATATTGATCGTTAGCAAGAGGCTAACACCGATTCGCGCTATAAGAAGTAAATTAAAAAGAAAAGTTCGTTAAATCTATATAAAACACTTACAGTACTGACAGCAATCGTTGGGATTTATAGATTTTATCAGAGCCCAGTTTACGACGTGCAAGATGGTCAGTCCATTGTAGAGAAACAGCAGCGTCATGGATAAGGTGAAATAAGATCCAATCTCACCCGCCAACCTCCAGGTTTTTCCCACCAGTAACTGATTGTTCTTCAGAAGCACACAAAGCTCCTGAATCCTCTCCCTGCTATTAAAATTCTCAAGTTCAACCTGGATCTGCTCGAGGATATGTTTCAGTCGGAGAATCAGTTCGTATATCAGTAACACAAAAACGCAATACTCTGGAACTTTAAGTTGTAGCGTTATCAAAATGATCTCGGTAGCTATTTTATTTGCCCAGTGGAGGAGGGGAGCCAGTCGACGAATTGTTAGGCGCGGAACCAGACTTATGATCAGCACTATCCACAGACCCACAAAAAGGGCTAATCGGTATCGAAAGCTCCACCAATATCTCCTTCCACCAAAACCCTTTAAATTCTTATCTATCTGCAGTTCCAGATCAGCAACATCCTGGTAGATACGATAGAGTCGCCGAAAGTTCAGCAGCATATTAAGTTGGTTGCAAGTAGCAATGGTCACCACGAGAACTTTTTGCGTCCTTCCCATAACTTTGCTGAAATCCTCCGAATGGAACTGCTCTATTTCCTGATGTAGGGCTATAATGTTGGCATAACACTCATAGAAAACCACCAGAAGAATTCCAATCAAATAAAAGATGAATCCTGCTATTAAATAGCCTCTATGACGTTTGTGCAATGTCCTGGTGAAAAATACCGGCGGAGGTGTAAGTCCAAAGAGTGAAAGAACCTGAAGATAAGGACGAGCTGTGGTCAGCAGACGACTGCGATTCACTTCCATGTCCGTCGAGGTATCGATGGTAACTGATCAACTTAATAAGCTTGCTTGTATACAAACAGCAAACACTCGCTTTTAATTAGGTAGATAAAATGATGGATGGATTTTATAGTTTAGAAGGGGATACATTAATTTAGTCCTTGAAAAAAATATGAACTTGTCTTAAAATAGTAATTTTAATTTTTTAGAGTTGGTTTATGTTCTTTGTTTTTATATTGCAGTGAGATCAACATTAAATTTCTCCAACATTTTGGTTATATTTTAATTCCGCAAAAACCTGAATTTTAAATTGAACTAAAATAATTATGTAACCAATTATAGTAACCACCATCTAAAATAAAAGAATATATGTTTTAGGAAAATATTATTTACACAAAATAATATACCCCTCCAAAGTATTTGAGATTAATGTCAAAGAATCCGCCGCAGGTGAAAAGAAGCTTCAGATGTTGCATTTGCAGATAGTATTCCCTTAGTCCCATTTTAAGCATTGCAAATTCGTTAGCCCCAGGTTGACCACCTATTTTATGCAGAATTTTTGGAATGCTATTGTACTAAAATATTTAAGGAAAATTATTAAATAAATGGGAGTTATTAGAGTCACTTCTTACAGCTCTAATGCAGCATTCACTGTAAAAGCAGGCCAGCAGTAGATTTATTGATAGTAAAATACTGGCCCCAACTCGCACTAGAAAAAATAGTTGGTATAAAAATACTTAATGATGTATGATATATATGATATGCCCTACTATATTGATGAGAGTCGATTGGAGTGATGGATTTTATGATGGCCCAGTTGACTATGTGCAGAATGGTGAGTCCATTGTAGAGGAACAGCAGCGTCATGGATACGGTGAAATATTTGCTAATCTCACCCACCAATCTCCAGACTCGTCCAATCAGCAACTGATTTCGCTTCAAGATAGCACATAGCTCTTGAATTCTGTCACTGCAACTACAATCCTCGAGTTCCAACTGGATCTGCTGGAGGATATGACGCACTCGAAGGATCAACTCATAGCTGAGAAGCACGAAGAGGCAATATTCCGGTCCTTTAAGTTGCAGCATCAACAGTATGATCTCGGTGAGAAATTTGTTGGCCCAGTAGAGAAAGGATCCCAGGCCCACAAGTATTAAGCGAGGAGCCAGGTCCACAAGTAGCACTGTCCACAGTCCAATGCAGAAGGCCAAGCGGCAACGGAAGCTCCACCATCGTCGTCTTCCACCAAAGCACCTGGAATTATCCTCTATCTCCGCCTCTAGGTCTGCGATATCCTCGTAGATTTCCTTTAGGCGTCGAAAGTTAAGCAGCATGTTAAGTTGGTTACTCACAGCCATCACTACCACAATAATCTTTGCCGTTTTTCCCATCAATTGGCTGAAGTCCTCGGCGTGAAACTTCTTAATATGAAGCTGCAGGGCTATAATGTTGGCATAGCACTCATAGATGGTCAATAGAAGGATGGCAAGAGCAAAGCAGACATATCCTGTCATTAGGTAACGCCTCAGTTCCCTGTGCAATGTCCTGTCGAAGAACACAGGCGGAGGTGTGAGACCGAAGAGGGAGAAAACCTGAAGATAAGGACGTGCTGTGGTCAGCAGACGACTTCGATTGGCTTCCATATTCGTCGAAGTGCTAAAGAGAACTGTGAAAAGGTCCTTAAACTACGAGGTAATCGGATATCCTGTTAAACACTTTCCATTAATGAGCTGGATAAGATAATCATTACATAGTAAACATATCCTTTAATGGATCTGTATAAAATAATTAGTTCTTAATGGGTTCTTATAATAGATCAAATCTTTTAAAACAATTTAAATTTTTTTCTTAACTGGTTATCAGTTAATTAAACGCTGATATTGAGACTCGACTTGTATTTATTCTCAGCAATTGCCTGGATTTTAAATTGTATGAGTATTATTATATATCCCATTATGGTGACAAGCATCTGGAAATAAATAATAGTTAGCGAATGGTTATAGATATTTGGTATAGGTTTTTGTTACCCCGCCAAAGTATTTCAAATTGATGTCGAACAATCCGCCGCAGGTGAATAAAAGCTTCAGGTGTTGCATCTGCAAGGAATATTCCCTTAATCCTCTGGTTAATATGGGAAAATCAGAGGCTGCAGACAGGCAACGAATTTTATGAAGGATTCGGGGAAAGCAGTTGTACTAAAAATTATAAAAATAAAATAAATCAATTCTCTAAAAAGTGAAAACTTCAACTTACAGCATTGATACATCGCTGACTTAGAAGGCAAGGCATAAGAAGGTTAATTAACAGAAAACAGCAAATAAAGAAACGATCTGGAAAAAAGTAAAATTAGTATTGTTGAAAATGTAAAGTTATTATATTTTTTTACAAACCATATCGGCAGCAATCGTTGTCGAGGAACGTATTGATATAGGCCCAGTTGACCATATGAAGGATAGTAAGACCATTATAAAGAAAAAGCAACATCATGGGCAGACTAAAGTAGCTGGCCACTTCGCACTGAAGCCTCCAAAGGCGTCCCAAAAGCAGTTGGTTGCGTTTGAGGGCAACACATAGAGCTTGTAGCATATCCTGTTGCTCGCAGACCTCCAAGTCCTCCTGCAGCTTAAGAAGTGTATGCCGCAATCTTAGCACCAATTCGTGAATCATTTGAACGAATACACAATACTCCACACTCTTGAGCTGCTGCATTACGATGACAAACTCGGTGATAATCTTACAGGTCCAGCTGATATAGATACCCAAGGATAGTAGAGTGAACTTGGGCACCAAAATCAGTAGGAGGATGAACCACACGCCCACACTGAAGGCCAAACGGAAGCGGAAACTATAGCGCTGCTTTTGACCCCCAAAACATTGAGAAGCCTCATCTATATCCCATTCCAAACTGGCTACATCTTCGTAGATTCGCCCAAGTCGGCGATAGTTAAACACCATATTCAGTTGATTGGCAATGGCCATTACGGAATATAGGCCCTTTTGAATATTACCCATGACACTGGTAAAGTCTGCCACATGGTAATCCAATATCTCCTTGTGAATGGCTATAATGTTTACGTACGATACAAACAGGACCATCACAAGGATCCCGGCTGCATAGCAGACAAATCCAGCCATCAAATACCATCTGAGACGCTTGTGAGGTGAGGTGTGGTCAAAACTTTGGGGCGGTGGCGTAAGGGAAAACACGGAAAATATCTGGAGATATGGAAAGGCTGTGGCCAACAGACGGCTCTTTTTTGGGGCCACCATGTTGGTTGAATGCTTAAAAACCTACTGAAGAGCACTTTTGAAGGATTTGACAAGGAAATTGATGGGTACTGAGTACCTAAGGGTACAAAAAAATATTAGGTAATTAAAGTAAAAACTGGATGTTATATCTACTTTTAATATTTAATAATAATTATAGTGAGGTTTTTGAAATCACTTTTAAAAAAGCCTAAAAGTATGCAGTGAATAAAGTATAATCGTCTTCTTGTACAAATTTTAATAAATTTTGGGTTAAAAATATTTTGTTGCATACTTTTAGACACCTATTTAGACATTTTAAAGTGATTTTATAAACTCAGCTGTTTCTGTGGCACCTCCAATTATTTCAAATATTGTTTTATAATTTCCCATAGCCTCTAAAATACCTGCACTTCCATTCGGGTTAAATTAAATGTGTACCTTGGCCATCACTGAGTCCTCCTCGCTTACCTAATTATTCAATATACCGAAGGCAAGCACATTTCACTAATTAGCTAGATAAGATGGGCTTCGAGTTGCTTTTTGGGAAGCGGGAGGGTGGGAATGGGGTTATCTACCCTATGTTCCCCTGGATGATTTCTATCTCGTTGCCTGGCCAATTTCCACGTCATAACGCTGGTAATTTCCATTTACCATACCATGCAAATGTGGGTTAAATTGTTTTTGTCTTTTGGCCAGCAATCAGCATTGTCTCTCGACGATTGCATGTGCAGCCACACATCCACAGATCCACATTTCCATCTCTCCATCTGTCGCTTTCAATTGCTCCACTTTCTTGCTTCATTTTCCATTTTGTGCACATAATTGCACTTCTTGTGAGCCAAAGTGGGCAAACATCCAACGTCACCATCATCGTTCTCCACCTCGCAAGCTGATGCTGATGCTGCTGCAGCTCCACAAGCCAAATCAAACGAAAACACCCTCTTGTTCAATCCCCAACCGCCTGCTAATCCCGTGCTGGAATTTCCCAGGGATCCAAGGGGATCCACATGCATACACACGAGGATACGGATGAGGGTTGCCGGCGCGACGGCAAGACATTGACGGGATTAAGTGTCCTTTTTAATTTTAAACTACTTCACTTCACTTTGCACAGTCAATGAGTGCGCTGCACCGCCTCCACCACTGAATCCTCCTCTGAGTCCACCTCCACATCCTGATCCTTTTGCCCATCGCTCGGTTAGGCTTCCCCTTTCTTTCTTTTTTTTTCGTTTTATTTTTTGTTACTTTGGCCATGTATGTTTCTCTTGCGAGTCCTTTTCTTTTAAGCTTGATTAAGCACTTTGTGTAACTCTATGACATGGACATGCATTTGCATGCTGGACTCCGTGCCAATGGCATTTTTAATTTGCCATAGCAACATATCCCGATCCGGTTCCACTTTACAACAGTGTTGCCGCTAAACTATGTCAAAGGAACAGGGCTTAAGAACACAAATAAACAACAATAATATAAAAAAATGGTGGATTAACTTCAACATACGCAGTATATTATACTCGCCTCTTTTAATGGAAAATGTTAATTATATTTAATATTTTCATTGTGTCCTATACTGCGATAATTTTAAAAATTTTTGAGAGTTTATTTTCTTATAAATGCATTTCTTCGAAAATATATAGAATTGGTATTTTCCTTTCAAGAAACAAGTTAAAAGACAGAATTATTCGGCAGGTTTTTAAAAAGTTGTTTTATATTTGTCATAGTAATTTGTATTGATGTGTGCAGACCGCTGTTCTACAGTGTCCGTGAGCGACAAAGATTGGGCTGAACCATTCTCTATGCTCACTTAATAGGTCGCTGCTGACCGCTGATCTAGAGTTAAAAATGTTTCCTGCATTGATAAAGTATTAAAATTTCCAAAATAAATAAAAAATTACACATTTAATTATTTTATGAATAAATATTTTAAAGAGTTAAAATAATTCATTCATTTATTTATTTTTTTTATCAGACGAATAACATATCTGTCCGGAAAAAGGCCAAATAGTCAGCGTATCCCAGGACACTCAGCTTCGAGAGCAGCGCAAATTGCATGCATTAGCATTGGCACTGAGGGACGATGAGCTGATGAAGTGGGTGGCGCTGTGGAAAAGGTCCTATAAAGTGGGGGCTGGAGGATCCAAGCAGAGCTGGCTTCTCATTTATTATGCACGGCTGCGAAGTAACAATGACTTTGGATTATTGTTTCCTCCCTGCCGCAGCAAACAATTGAAATACAATAAAATTAAATAATTTTTAACAAGCCACAGGAAAACGGAAGTGCTCGTCCATACACTCGCCCATACTCCTCTCCTCACACAGAAACCCGCTTTACCCGATTTACATGGCCTTAATAGCCAATCTCTGGCATTGGCGCACAGATAGTCCATATATAAACCGCGTTTTTTCCAATGCATTTTATCATTCTTATTATAAATATATTGTGTATTGTTTAAATTGCATTTAACTTTAACAAAAACGAAAAAAAACGGAAAAAAAGGAAATATATTTATACACATATTGATATATTTTATTCGCAAAGGTAAATAAATCCACATAAAGGCAATGTGTAAGTTGCACACGTTGTGTGCCGTGTGTGAGTGTCTGCGAGCAATAAACAAATACAATTTTATTATTTATTATTTATGTATTCATGGCCATTAAACGGATATCCGTGGCCATGGCGCATTAAATTGCACTGCCACCGCACCATCACCATCTCACCGATTCACCACTTCACCCCTTACCTTTTCATGACTTACTATACAAAGACTCTACGCCATTTGCAATCCATAAAGCGGATCACGTGCGTCGTCATGGAGACATTTTTAATGCACTTTCAGTTCGTTTCCTGATGGAGAGATGGCCGTTAAGAAGATTCCGTTTTTGGCTGGCACTAGATGAAAATAAGCTGAATGTCGAGAGGGATTAAAATTATTAAAAATAAGCAAGAACAAGAAAATTCAACATACTCGTATAACATAATACATATTTATTATTTATTTATAATAAAATATTATAAAACAGATTAAAATCCAAACCGGTAAACAGTAATTTCTACAGAAAATCCGCCAAATTCTCAAACGATTTATTCCATTGAAGCTCTCTAATTAATATCTACCCACAACTTAATACCACCTGAAGCATGTGATAAGCTTCCGTTGGGGGCCATAGGTATTTCGTTATCTGTCGAGAGAAATCGCTTGCCAGGGGATGCGAAACAAATTTAAGGAAGTATCAATTGTTGGGGATAAAGAGAGGCTGCCTGAATAGCAGCGTTTGCTGGTACTTTCCCAGCATTTCTTCCGCTTGTGGTTGGCGGTTTTAGTTGACTTGGCGCTGAAAGTCGGTCTTTTGCTATCAATATGTAATCAATGCTTTCAAATAACTTTGCCATTCGCAGCAAGGCTTTTGTTTTGTACAAATCAGGAGACGACGGAGCACCAAGGTTTGGAGTCGGGTAATGGCATCACCTAAGCCACCAAGCCAGGCGAAACAATGGGGACTTGGGTGCTGGAATGTGAAATGTGGTGGTATGAACAGGGTAGGGAGTGGATTCGAATATATAGAGACTCGCAGAGATGGCGTGTGTCGCCTGCCTGGGGCGCACAAAAGGGATTTCAATAATACGCGCACAATCTGTGCTGAAAGCTTAAACAATAAAAGTGAAAATTCCGTTAGAGCCTGTAGATGCGAGGGATAAGGATATTATTGGGAAGCTAGATCCCCCAATCCAAGTCCCCACACTACGGATGAGGATAAAGCTGAGACTCGAACATTTTTTTTATAAAATTTGAAGTTTAAAAAAAAGTTATTAAAATTAAATTGGCTACACAAAATCTTTTAGATATTAAATTCTAACTCTAACTCTTTTTTAAAACTATACTTTGTAGATAGACCATTTTAAGGATCTTATTATTTTCCAAATATTTTTTAACCCACCCCCAATATAAGTCACGAGTCTCACGAACATTTTTCGTACTCTCCCATCGCCAGGAGAACTTTAAGTTGCGGTTGAAGGAAACAGGACAATGCGACATGTGTAGCCGTGTATTTGAGTATCCGTGCAATCGAGTTGCCGAGTATCTTCCATGTTGCCATCCCATCCAGACAATGCAGATTAGCCCCCGAAAAGGGGTTCCACCGCCCACACGCTCTTGAGACCTTCTTGTCGTGAGAGACAAAAGCACTCGGCTGGGATTTTAATGAATAACAACATGAAGAAGTAGGATCCGGCAGGGCATCCACATCAATTACATTGCGGTTGGCAGTCGGCTGTTGGCTGTTAGCTGCCATTGCCAGGGACACTCTCACAAAACCCAGAATCTCACAAAATCACAATCACAATCGAGTGCCAGGAGCACGTTCGCATATGAATATGAAATGCAGAAGCACATGCGGCGGCCATATCGATGAAAATCAATTCCACTGTCATTTGGGAATCTCTCAATTGGTCGAGAAGCAGCTGAGAAAGTTCTGTGTTTGTGGCACTGAATTGTCAATATCAGCTCAAGTTGATTTTGCTCCATTATCTGTGCAATTTGGAGCACGAATCGACGACTGACTACTGCAACTGTCGGTTCGTTTTCGGTTTCGGTTTCGGATCCAAAATACCTTTTTGACCTCTTCGCCTGCGGCTTATTGGGCAAATTAGTTTTGCCTGATTGCAAATTGTACATGGAGGCAGTTTCTTCTCTCCTCCCTGACAGGACGTAAATTCAATGTCCTGGCATATAAGTTATATACGTTTTAAACCGGGTGTTTCCCACATGGAAACTATCCACCCAACCCTCTTGATTTATGTTTATGGGCTTGGCAAATATTTGCGCCACTTCAAAAGCATTATGATGATTATTAGCATTGTTTGCCATCGTAGTAAAACTGTCATACGTGTCTGGCTGACTGTTGGCCCAACATTTGCAGTCGAACAGTATGGAAAAAAGAGAGCATCGCTTCGACTCTGGGCCATATCTATAAATGTAGCTGTAACGGACAAACGTGAAACGTGACCGACGTGATGTTTA